GTTGGTTGTTGTTGGTTGGTTGTTGTTGGTTGGTTGTTGTTGTTTGGTTGTTGTTGTTGCTGTTGTTGTGTGGTAGTTGTTGTATTGTTATAGTGTTCTTTTAGCTACTGGCTACTGGCGGCACTGGCGCCAAGCCACCAAACCAAAACTAGCACTTTCCTATTTCCAACGCAGGTCCACGACGAGCAAAGAGACCAAGGCTCTGTGACTATGGGCAGCCTGGGCAGCCTGGGCCTGGGCCGCCTAGGCCAATTCTGGACCAGGTCTTGGAAATTGAGCCAGGTATTTCGGGTCAGATTTCATCAAGGAAAGAGCCAGAGCCCACCAGAATTGACTCGCGTTGGTTTGGCGCAGCCTCTGCGCATTCCGTGTCCACTTGCTTGAATGGTGCAAAGTTAGGTGCTGGCTCATTCTTCAAGCTCGTGTGTGAGAGGATGAGCCATCACACAGTTCAAGGCGATGAGATGCCTACATTTGATTTCCTGGTTCAGACTTACAAGTCATTCTTGACAGAAGGAGATGCGCTTCATTTGATACCGGTTGGTTTTCCCGCTGTGTGCAACCTTGGAAAGTTTGCTTTCCAAGATCTGGTGTCCTCCCTTTCCTTGTGGAAGATTTCTGGAGCTAAGCATTTGCCTCCTCATGATTGGTGACTGGACATAAGACTTAGATTTGCACTTCATTGTTTCTAGATTTGTATGGTTTTAGTTTTGATTCTACCAGATGGTAGTTCCTTTGATTCTGCTTGCTTCTCAAGGCATCCGCAATGCAAAGAGTTGGTAATGGCCATGGTCAATCAGGGCGCTACGACCAGTGGATCAGCTAGCCAGTCATTTTACTGCTCTTCTGATGTGTTTGCTGGATCTCATTTTGAATACCTGCAAGACAAAGGCTTCATTAGATCATTGCGTCTCATGGGAGCTCCAGACTCATACCAAGTCACCCGCAAGCTTCTAGTGCAGGTTTGCGAAGAAATGGGTCCTATAAATTCGTTTGTGAGACCACCTCCTCTTGGAATGAAAGAGGGCACCATTGAGTGCTTACGAAGCAGAACACGATGGGAACTGATTTTGGTGTTGGAAAGAAATGGGTGGAAGAGGGCTGTTTCCACAAAATCCAAAGCAAGCCCTTATGTCCTTGCATCAACCAAAGAATATTATTGGAATCCGAAAGACAGTGGCACAGGGCGCTTGGCACATGACTACCTAGTGGCACTTGCTCTTGCAGATGCCTTGCTGTCATCAGGGCTGAAGAGCTTAGCTCACTTCCAATCAAATAAGTATTACAGTACCGTCCTGCATTTGTGGGAGAGCTCCCCTTCCAAGCTTGGCCAAGTGGTTCCAAACCAGCCAGCTTACTTGTACAGTGAGTTGCAGAAACGGGAGAAGAAGGTGGCGGACGAGAGGAACAATGATGCTTCAGCATCTCACGCAGACATTGACTTTGAGGTGGAGCCAGGCCAGTTTCCATTGCGTTTGTTTCTGAAATGAGTATGACTCGGACTAGGTGCCAGAGCCATAAGATCCTTGTCAGGCATCAATCTGCCACTTCCTGCCAGACACCGTGGCCGGGGCAGAGGCCGTGGCCAAGGTGAGGCAAAGGCAAAGGGTAAGGACAGTAGTCTGGATCCAGACAATGCAGCCCAGCAAAATCAAAGCGATCTGCCTCAGCCTCTGCCACGGCCTCTGCCGCGGTTTCTCCCCCAAAGACATCAACACAGCTGGCGTTGGAAACAGTGCAGGTGCCTTCAGACACAGACTCAGACACAATTGCCAAGCCACCAGCAGACAGGCAGCTGCAGATTCAGCGGTCATTGAGGCCACAGCATTGACACAACCATCAAGCAAGCTCGCAGCAAACAACATTGGATCCCATTCTGGAACACACCAAGCGCCACCAGAACCAGCCTCCACCCAGAAGACCATGGAACCGATGGCAGCGCAGGCGCAGGTGCCTTCAGAGGCATTTGCAGCGCCAGCCGGCAAGCATGAAGCAGAACAAAGCTCAGCCATCAGCAGCAGCAGCAGCAATGCTGCAGTTTGCGCAACAGAACATCCAGCAGATTCAAGGTCAGCAGCAGGGGAGCAACATTCGCAACAACAGGCGGCTGCAGATTCAGCGGTCATTGCGGCCACAGCATTGACACAACCATCAAACAAGCTCGCAACAGACAACATTGCATCCCATTCTGGAACACACCAAGAGCCACCAGAACCAGCCTCTACCCATAAGACCTTGGAACCAATGGCAGTGCAAGTGCAGGTGCCCTCAGAGGCATTTGCAATGCCAGCAGGCAAGCATCAAGCAAAACAAAGCAGCATCAGCAGCAGCAGCAGCAGCAGTGACAGCAGTGCTGAAGCTTGTGCAACAGAACATCAGGCAGATTCAACATCAAGCAAACCAGCAAAGGGGCAGGGGCAGGACCGTTCCAAGCATCCAGTTGCATCCAGATCCACAGCCAGCCAACCAGAGAAGCTAGGTCTGACCCCAACAACGATTTTCAGTGAATCCACGATATGGTTCGGAGACATCCCTTTGATCAAAAGGTCAGACCAAGGTGTTCCTTGGAATGGAACAGAACCAGCTCGTGACTCGTGATGTGGATGGTTTTAAAGTTAAAGATCAAGTGAATCAATCCAATAATCCAATCCAATCCCATTATTGACTTGATATTTTTGGCAGATTTTCCAAGGCTGGCAGCTACATTGCTACTTGCACTTGTCACAGATCAGTGACAGAATCTGGAACCACGAGGGCTTGCAAGAAGTCCATTGCGCTGTCAAAACCTTCGAAAGACATATGCATTCTGAGACTGAAATATTGGATTGTCGCAGGCGGGCACGATGTTGTTGCACAGTTCAATTAATTTTGTTGGCCCATGCCAAGCAGGTTTTGAAATGGAAAAAAGAGAAGGCAGGCTCAGAACTTTTTTGTCATCCAGAAATGTGAAACCCTTTTTCAATAAAAGTCAGGCGAGTCTGATGAAGATGTTCGCTCCAGACATGTCAAGCTGGCAACAGCCTCAGATGGTCATCATTCACCTTATCTAGCCTTAATACTCCAGACTCCAAACTCCAGACTCCAGGACCCTCCGATGGACGCAGAATCCTTGGGTACAGCAGATGGCCTATTGAAGAGGCTAAACCAGGTGATGCAAGAACGCCAAAGGCGTGCTGAATCTTCCTGACAGTCCGCCATCTTGTTGGGAAAAACCGACACACTTGCTCAGAAGTCAGAAGAATGTTCTTGTGTTGTGATTGCTTCCAAAAAAAGTTCTGACACATAAAAAGTTAAGGTTCAAAAAAAAAACCATAACTTGTTGTGAGTGCTTCCAAAAAGTTAAGACACATACAAAAAGTTAAGGTTCAAAAAAAAAATGAACCATAACTTATGATAGGATTTTCCAGTACACCGGATCAACAAAAAACAATGAAATCTGTGGTATTTGCTTGGATAGTGTATTGTGATAATACAACATCTAATACACAAACCAATGGAAAAACCTTGAATGTCAAGGTTTTTGCTTGATTTGTGTAATGGAAAATCCAATCATAAGTTATGGTTCATTTTTTTTTGAACCTTAACTTTTTGTATGTGTCTTAACTTTTTGGAAGCACTCACAACAAGTTATGGTTTATTTTTTTTGAACCTTAACTTTTTATGTGTCAGAACTTTTTTCGAAGCAATTACAACAGCTTGCTGAGCACCTCTCCTGGACTTTTCGTGGCTGTCAATGCGTTGCAGAAAATGTTTCACTTAAATGTTTTTGAATTTGTTTATTTGAGGCTGTTTCCGAAGATTTCCTTTGTCACCCAGTTGCCCATTGCCCATTCTTGTTTTCTGTTTGAAGGTTGTCTTCCCTTGCCTTGGTATGGTGACCTTTCTCAACCAAAAGGGTGTGTTTCTGAGAAGGTTTGTTTCTCTGAGTGTGGTGTGCGCTTGTGATGATTATCCTTTACCAGTTCAATTTTGCTTTTGTGCTTGTATGATGCGTTGCTGTTTCCCCTGTTGCCTGATTAGTTTTGCTTCAACAAAACATTTTTCGTTGTTGACCCACCCACCCACCCACCCACCCATGCCCTGACACCAAGCCCTCTGTTGCAGGATTTTGGAAATGCGCTTATCAAACATCAGAATCAGCTTACTTATACGAGTTGGGTGCACTCTTGTGTTTTTTGCCCAAATGCTGAAGGCTCATGCGTGAAAAGGCTTTGTAAAATCGCCATGGAAGCAATGTCTGAGCCTAACGAGGCCCAGGCTGGAAGCAAGTCTTCTTCTTCTTCTAGCTCATCTAGCTCAAGTTCAAGCGATGCTGGCTCACCCGCAAGTCCTCCTTCCAAAAAAATGAAGGTCCAAGTCCAGGTTCATGACCAAGAGCAGAACTTTGAACAAAAAGAGCCGCCTGAACCAAAGGGCGAATCTGACTCCGAGCCAGATGTGAATGTGGACACACAGTCTTTCCACATTATCAACAGCATTCGGGCAGCCAAATATGCCCAAAAGGAATTGGTTAAAGCAGACATACCCACAGGACCTGAGTCTTTGGAAGATTTGTTTAGGTGGCCAAAACGGTACTGCGAGACACTGCTGAGTGATCTTTGTGACCCAAATGGTGTGTCAGCAGAAAGGTTTCGTGAGCTTTGCAAGAGAGAGATCAAACATCATGAGTCTTTTGCTGGAAGCGGTGCTGCTGGAATCAGTATGAGAATGGCTTTCAGCGCTTTGCACCGGCACATAAACCAGCGTGGAGGCGCCTATTACTTGGTCTGTTCCAAGTCCTTACAAAGTAACTCTTGTTCATTGTTAATTGTTAATGGTTTCTATTCTAGTGCAGTGGAGGCGGTGTGCCTGAGAACGATGGTCCGAAAACGATCACTTCTTGTGACATTGACCGCAACTGCCGTGCAGCACTGAACTCCTTGCATGAGGACAGGCAAAATCAAAACCCTTTGGCCTTTGGCCTTTGACCTTGATTCCTTAGTTTGCAGGAGTTCAGGCCAACACATATTCAGGGTGGACTGGAGGAACGCTTGAACTCAGGGGTTGTTGAGAAGTTGGATTCCATCCTCGCTGCGACAAAGTTCAACTTGAGCATTGCCATGAGTTCAAGCCTCAGCTTCCTGAACCTTCCTGAGCAGAGGCTAATGAGGCTAATGTTCCTTCTTGAGGTGAAGTTGACATGGATGATGGTGAAAACATGGAGATCCGCATACAGAAAATTCAAGCCAAGTTTGGAGAAGAACTATTAGATCAGTACATGAGTGTTCTTACGGAGCCAGGAACCTTCCAACTATCTGCACCTTGCCATTGCCCTGGTCAGTCTCATGCAGTGGCCTCATCAAGGCTTTGAATGAGGCATGCAACCAAGTGACATCAGTGTTTGAGGCCAAGGGGTGCATCACTCCTGTTGGAGAAGCCAAATTGCTCAAGGAGTTGGGACAAAGCCAAGGCTTGTCTCACCTTAATCCCTTAATCTCTTATATATGGATCCTCAAGTGTGCCAGGCTTGAATCCTCTTCGCATTGCATCCGGTGGAACCTCGTGCGTTGACGTTTCTAGCATAGGTGTCAGCCCCAGCAGCAAAAGTGCATTGATTCAGATTCATTCATTCATGGTGGGTTGTAAGTTGTTTCAAGCTCAGGAGCAAAAGCCGGACTGCTTGGCGATTCAACAAGGAGCCTCGCCATTTGGCTAGCCGAAAGGCTAGAGAGCCTGGAGGACAGTCATATGAGTCATATGTCATAGGGCAATATTGTTGGCAATACTTATTGTTACTTACAATGCACTGTTGCTGTTGCTTGCCATGTTTGTTTTGGCATGGGAAGCGTTCTATTCTATGGCTTGTGGCACTTGTTTTCAGGAAGTGATCATTCACGAATGCACCTCTGGATTCTTACGCTGGGTGTTGATCAAATACCTAGGGAAGCACTATGATTTTCACTTACTTTTGCGAGACAAATCTTCGATCTGCCAGCCGGAAATGAATGACACCGAGAGTGACGCCTACCTGCTGAGCCCTCATGCTTATGGATGGCCTGCTCACAGGCCAAGGTTGTACCAGGTTGGAACAAAAAGAAACGTTGTTGCTCTGAGGGACCCTTACAGTGTAGATGGGATGTCATCTGGCCTTGGCAGAGTCAAATGCCTTTTCACGAAGACAGTGCTGGACAGCTCCGTTTTCATGGTGGCAAGTGAAGAACTTTGACTGCAGACTCAATGCAATGCAAAACTACAGATTGAAATTGTAATGGTCATTAACTTGAGCCGTGGTAGAGACTAGAGACTTGAGCTGACACTTATATAGACAATAGATGGATTTATGCCTTTTGCAACAATTCCAGGAAGAAGTCAAGGAAGCAAGGCAGAAGGCTGCAAGACAAGCCGCCCAGAGTTCCGATGCATCTTTGAATCAAGCTTGACAGGTTCGAGCCTAAGTCTCTAGTCTGGAGTCTAGAGTCTCAAGTTTGTTTGGCAAGGAGCAAAAAGAGTTTGGCTTGCGCAATACCGATCCTCCCGCAAAGTCCTTGATGCTTGGAATACAGGCCCGGCTGAACTACTTTGCTACTTTGAGAATTTCATAGTGGATCAATGGACAGTGTAAGATTCCAAATTCAATATTCAAACTCTTTGATTTCTCTTCTTGGCAAGGTTGTGGCAGCATGGTGTGCAACTTGCACCAAAACCCTGGCATTCGACCCATAGTCAGCTTTCTGTTGCCCACGCTCCTTAGACGTGGCTTGATGTGGGTGCTTCTACCTCCAAGTCGTCCTCATCATGACACCCGAACTGAACGTTACTTGCTTGACAAGGATCATATCAAATGATTGATCAGATTGTCGCATAGATGACTCCTTCTTACTTATTTTTAGTTGTGTTTTTTTTGACTTGATTTTCAGCAGGAGCATTTGCATGGAATGGGCCTGTGGCAGTACCCCCAATGCACCGGAGAGCAACCTTATCCTTTGTATGGCCAGTCTTTGACAGAGTCCATTCGAAAATCACTTGCTGGGAACGTGACTCGTTTTTGAAGTTCAAGTTTGAGATGTTGAGATGTTGCTTGACGCTTGACATAGGTCTATACAATATATACATATACATTGATATCCTTTGCCTTTGACATCAGGCGATGCACATGGCAGTGGTCGGAAGCTTGTGGTCCATAATTCTCACTCATTTGGTCTTTTTGGATTGAGTGGAGTGAACTGAATGAACCAGAAAGAATTCCTATCAGCTGCCAGCTGGCCAGAAAATGTCAGGTCTTGTAACTCTAGTAGTCCAGTCTAGTTTGCAAATGATGCCAGGCCAGCCTGTTGTCAGCTGTAGGGCTTTCAGTGTAGATTTGCCAGTGCTTTCCGGTTTGTTGCCTCAATGCCTTTTGGCAAGGCTTCTTAGCAATTCGCAGCGCTTTCGCAACTTTGGAACTTTGGGAACTTTGGGGGTGAGAATGAGAAAATGGTAATCACTGATCACCACCAAATCGTTGAGACTTTGAAACTTCGAGTCAAGATTTTTTGTGACCAGACAGACATTCCTGCATACATACAGACATGCATACTGTACAGTTACAGACAAACGCCATAGACCCAGACCGAGACTGAGAAATCATGCCATCATTCAAAGTAGCCATTTTGGTTCCCAAGTTTGCAGTTTGCATCATACCCTGGAGTTTGTTTGTTCTTCTTGGCATTGGGAGAGGCTTGGGAAAGCCTGGTGACCAATCACCTTTGCGCTTTATGTCTCTTGTGCCAACCGCGGAAGCTGAAGCGCAGAAGCCAGTGAAGTTGGATCAGTTCACTGCTCTGTGTGAGGTAGAAGATTGCCAGAACAAGACATCCTACCAGCCGTCTAAGCCAGATTCTTCTCGGATGTAGCTTCAGCCTTCAGCTTCAGCTTCTTTAATTTCTTGCCACTGCCAGGCTTACCCAAGTTTGTGGCCCCCATCTACCGGACTACAATTCGCTTTTCCAGCAAGCAGGTAAAGGACCGCAAGGCAAAGCGGATCTGAAAACACATCTCTTGCACTTGGAAGAGAATGACAAGCCAGCATTCCTGAAAATACTTACCAGCTATTGCCATAAGTAACCTGGCTGCCCTGGCTAAGCTATTTCAGAAATTTGCAGATTTGCAGTGTTGTGCAAAGAGAACACTCGCATGCTCACTGCTCACGCTCATGATTCATTTATATATTTGGTTCGGTTCATTTGACTTTTCTAAGGTGCCCTTCGCGAGGAAGGGGGAAGCCTCGCAATCCGTTTGACTTCAGTGAGATTATGGAATCTGATTCCAGAGGTAAGCGGGTTGACTTGTTCCATGATGGCCAGCCAATGTGCCTTGCGGACTTTTTGGAATGGCACACCCAAAAGTGTCCCTCTTACAGGCGTTCCTCAGCTGCCATGGAAATAGACAGCTTGCGCTGTGCAAGATGATTGACTTTTTTTCTCCGTTGTCATGCTAGTTTTGAGAATTTCATCTCTCTCTAAAGTCTTTACTCTTTTCCCTTCAGATTACTCTCATCTCTCTTTACTCTTTAAAGTCGTTAAAGTCGTTACCTGCTGGCTGTGAGCATAGCCCATCAAATTGTTCAAGCCAAATGCAGGTTTGAGCAAAGAGGCTGCCCAACGCAAGTGGCACAAGGACTTGCAGGACAAATCCATCAAGAAAGATCAGGTTCAAGCTGTAGATCTAGCTGGCCGAGAAACTGGTTTGGCCCGGGTCCTGGCATGGGTTTATCCTTCCTTCCAAGTTCATTTTTTCAGACTTTTGATAAGTATTCTCCTAGGTTTGGAGGATATGGGTCACCACCAACGAAGTTCAACGTGATTCAGCTTTTGCAGAGCCAGCCTCAGCTTTAGGGACTGAACACTGAATACAGAAGATTCATCCTGACCAAGGAGACACAAGTGGGCTTCATTAAGTCTTCCACTCAGATCAAGGCACCTTCCGAAGCTCAGCTCAGGAGCTTCCAGTCTGTTGCCAAGGAACTTGCCATGGAAAAGGGGCTTGGAATCGGGGTAGACTTTCAAGAGGATTCGGGGATTCAAGCTTCCGGGGCTGTGAATTTGCCTTTACAGGCAAAGGTTGCACAGCAGCAGAATATTACAGGACCTCGGACCTCCCAAGCTCAAGGTCACCAGGCTTTGCTGAAGCTGGCCCCGTCTGTAGCTGCGCCAAAGTTGAGACTCAAGAGCATGAAGGCTTTCAATGATGCCAAGATGTTGAATACCAAGGCACATGGGAGAAAGTCATCTAGTCTGATTGCAGGTTTCTAAATGAATGCAGTGCATTGTGCATGCTCAATGCTCAACCAATTTGACATATGCTCCTGCTCATGCTAGCTTACTATCTTTGTTCAGGCCTTGGCTGGCGCAACAGCTGCTTTGGATGCTATGAGAAAGAGTTTTGGCCCGGACTTGGAGGAGCAGTCTGATGACCCCCGTCTTCAGCAAATCCTGCATCGCGAGAATCTGGCCAAGATCCTTGCAAGCCAGAGTCTGAGCCATGGCAACCTGGGCCAGACCCTTTCCAGGCAGATTCATGAGTTGGTGCAGCAAGACGATTTCTTGAAAGAAGAGGGTTTTGAAGAAAAGAGCTGTCAATCAATAGGCCAATTGACCTATGCCAGAGACATGCTCATGAACCTGCAGCCCAATGTGGAATCATTGCTGCAATTCTACGATGACCACCTTGAAAGCATCCGCTGTCTGAAAACATGTTCAGAGGCCTTGAAGGTTGCAGCAGAACAATATCTTGCCAATTCGGCTGCTGAGAAGAAGGCCCGCAAGTTGGAGCAAGATATGAGAGACAAGGAGGAGAAGCGTCTTGAGAAAGAGAAACAGAAGGATGAGAAGAAGAGAAAAAAGAAAAGAGGAGCAGGCCAAGAAGAAAGAGGCAGAAGCAGCGGCCAAGAAGCAGGCAAGGGAAGAAGCGGAGCGGAATAAGGAAAACCATGACCCGGACGGCCCGGAAGTGGAGGAAGAGGAGCCGGAAAAACCAAGGAAAAAGAAGAGCCGAAACCCTGCTCTTGGCGAGTTGCAGCCTGCAGATCCAGATGTCTTGAAGGTCTCCAGTTCCATCTTTGACCCGCAGGCAGCAGACTCTTTGGAAAACATGGCTTCTATGCTGGTTGACAACAAGCACCAGGTTGTGCGATTGAGGGAGGGCAAATCCAAGAAGGTGTCCTGCAAGAAGGTCATGCAAGCTGGGCCACAAATTCAACCAGATACCATCAATTCCTGGGTGAAGACGCTCAATGCGAGCTTTGTTGAGTTCAAGGCCAAGTTTGGTAGTCTTCAAACTGCAAGAGTCAGCAAAAGCTATGATGCGCCTGGAGTCTTGCTTGGTATGGATTGGCTGATAGGTCAAGAGTTGGACGCCCAGGGTATGGGAGGGTCTGCTGCTCAGATCCTGGAGAAGGGGTACATGTTTGATCGGCAAGATCTCACGGCTATGCTTCTTGAAAGCAAATTCAATTGATTTAAATATATATATATAGAGAGAGAGATAAAAATTTCCACATACTATACCATTATACTATACTATATTATTAAGAGAATGTTATATGATATGATATTATATAGAAAGTTGAAAGTAGTAGTTCCTTTTTAGTTTTCAGTTTCCCTCAATCTGGTGACAGTGACTGCTCAAATGATTTTGGAACCACCACTGGCCACCACACCAGGCTTCCATTGGAGGAAGATCCCAGTGCCCAGGGTGATGCTTCTATTGTGAACCAGCAGAAAATTTACAAAGCCAACGGACTTACAATGCAAGGCTTCTTGTATGCAGCCATGGCCATGGCCATGTAGCCATGTAGGCTTGTGTCAGAGTCAGATTCCTTGTTTTGTTTTCCTTTCGAATCTCCGATCAACAATTAACGATTGCTTCGTTCTCCGAAATCCTAGGCTTCCAGCTTGGGTCAACTCTGACATCATTTCTGCCAGGCCACTGGCCACCATGTCTAACAGAGCGGTGACAGACTGAGTGTTGAGAAATTGTTCCATCGGAATCAGAATCATCAGAGTCAGAATCAGTCAGACAGTCAGACATATGATATTATATATATATGTATATTTATATTATATATATAGTATATATATAGGGTGTTAATGTTACTGTTTAACTGTCATATACCCCCCTTTCCTCACTGTTCTTCACTTTGAAATTTCCTGCAGGTGGGCTTCCTTGCTTTCATTACCAGCTGGAAGGAAGCAGGATCATTGCTCTGATGGACTTTGAGGAGATCCAAGACTACATGGGGCTTGAAAGGGCAGCGGAGGCCGAGAAATCCGGAAAGCCGTATTCAGATATCAAGCCGACACTTCCTGATTGTGCGAAGTGGTTGGAAAATCTGAGCCAAGAGAAGTTGCAAGGGATGGATGAAACCCCTTGGTCCTTCAAAGTCTTCTACATGGGAGCTGGGGAACTTGTATACTTTCCAGCCGGGGTATTGGTGGTGGAAAAGTGTGTCATGGTGGATTCTTTTTGCTCACGGGTCAATAGCATGCTGGTGGACAAGTATGTCATCCAGCGGCTGCAACTATGTAAGTCTCATGGGCATGGGAACTTCAGCTTCAGCTCAGTTCAGCTATGTAGTTCTGCTCTTTTCTTTTTTGTTTGTAGTCTTCAACTTCCTAGAGGTCCAAGACCAAGACCAAGATACTTTGTGCTCAGGAATGCTATTGCTGACTTGTGCATCCTCAAGTTCGATGGACTGCAAAAAGAGGCTACCTTGGCCAAAGCCTTGGCTCCTGCAGCAGCAGCTCGGCCCGCTCAGCCACAGCCGCCGCAGTCACCGCAGCCACTTGGCAATGGCAATGATGGTGGTGGTGATGGCGGTGCTAGTCTCATTGCCTTGAGGCAGAAAGTGAAAGAAGAGGAAGGGGACAATGACAAGGATTCTGACTCGGAGTCGCAGAATGAGAATAAGAAGAGTCACTCAAAGCATGACCATGATCTTCCTCCTGCTGCTGCCGTTTGTGACAAGTCTACTACTCACAAGGGTCAGCTGGACCATGAAGACCAAGATTTGCACTTTGGAAAGCCTGGACAGCCGCTTGAGTTTGACACTTTGCCACCAGGTGTCACTGTCAGTTCCCTGCTGGGCCAGAAGCCATTGAAGTTCATACCATTTGAGGCAAGTCAAGTTCTTGTTCCTGAACTTGAACTTCAACTTTCTCAAGCAGCTCCGCTGCCGCTGCCTCCTACTACTCCTAGTCAAGTGCACCTGCCATTGCCTATGGAGTTGGATGAGGCAAAGGCGGAGAGTCCATCGTTTCCAGTTCCAGCGCCAGCACCTGTTCCTGAAATTCCGCAAGCAGCGGTGGCAGAGGCAGAGGTCAATGGTGACATTGACATGAGGAGTGAAGTCACAACCCCAAAGCCACAGCCAAAGGCTGAAGTTCCAGAGAGTGCAGGTGTGGCTGCAGGGTCAGAGACTGAGGCAAAGCATGGCAAGGGTGATCTTGATGGTCTACACCTTGCAGGGCATGGGCAGGCTGTGGCAAAGGGCACTGTGAGTGAAGCTGCAACTGTAACTGCAGCCCAAGAGTCTCAAGAGACAAAGCCAGGGCCACAGTCTCAGCCACAGCCAACGGTTGAGGCGTTGGAAGTTCCAAAGGAGGATGCGGCGGAGGCGGACGCTGAGGCGGAGGCAAAGGATGGTGATGGCACTGGCACTGGCAACACTGGCAATGGCAATGGTTCTAGTCCTAGTGCTGCAGAAGTTCCAGAAGTTCCAGATTCGGATGGCGCTGGCAATGGCACCGTCTTCACTGGCAGTGGCAAAGGCAATGGTCCTCACGGAGACGGAGATGCAGAAGTTCCGTTGCATGATGCCGCCGCCGCCACACAGAATGTGGCTGAGGCTGGGGCAGCGGCTGAGACTGAGGCAAAGGAGGGCCCTGGCATTCATGACCCAGAACTTCCACAGCATGTACAGGTTTCGGCAACGGAGAGCAGTGGTGGTGGTGACAATGGTGGTGAACTTCCAAAGCCTGTGGCGGAGGACGCTGAGGCTAAGCATGGCAATGGTGATCTTGCAGGCAAAGCTGACGAAGCTCCAACGGTTGGGGCTGGGGCTGCGGCTGGGCATGCTTCTGAGGGAATAAGCAAGGGTGACTTTGGTGGTCTTTGCCCAGAGAGTTCAGAGCCTGAGCCAGGCATGAAGCGGAAAGAATCGGAAAGCGCTTCCAGCGCTCTTATGACCGAGAAAAAGAACCAGGAGCAAGTGGACAGCGAGAAGGACAAGGCTTCCGCGGAGGTGCGGATGCGTGAGCATGACAAGGAGGACTGCGTGGGCATGGAGGCTGTGGGTGGGTCTTCAATGTCACAGCAGGACTCAGACCAGGGAAAAGTCAAACGCCTTGGAGGCCATCATGAGAGCAACGAGAAGAAGATTGATGCAAAACAGGCAAAGACAAAGGCTTCGGTGTTGGCAATTGCTTCGGTGTTGGCGCAGGCTAAGGCCAAGGCAAAGCCTAAGGCTAAGTCTCAGCCAAAGTCCAAGCCAAAGAGTGAGCCCAAGTCCAGATCTAGAGCATCAGCTTCCAGCAAAGCTGGGACAAATGCCAAGTTGACAGAGTTGTTCAACAAGAATGATCATGATCAGATCCCGAACCCTCCGAAGAAGCGGAGGATGACCTAGGTTTGAAGGCCACCAAGAGCCTTCAATGTTCAATCCAAATGATTGAGAGGAGCGCAGTGTTGACGCATAGTTCAGTGCTGCAAATGCAGCCGGAATCTGGGATCAATCCGGTTTGTGAAAACAGCACTGACAGAGCATTGTTTTTACTTGTCTTTGCCAGTCTGAGTCTTTGCCAAGCAGCCTGGGGTGCATTTGTTTATGTGCATGCCATTGGACATGGAAGCAATAGTTTGATTTGCGCAAATTTGTTTAGACACCTAATGACGCCTACTACTAGCGCCGCCAAAACACAAGCGAAACGCAAAGCCCCGTCCCCAGCTATTATCTATCCTAAGCTCAACTGGCAGTGTGGTGGCGTTTTTCTCTTACGTAATCTTTCCTGTATCCATTTTTCAAGGCTTGACAGGTTCGCTCAGAACTTGATTCCCTCAGCTCTTGGTCTGGTGTGCTGCATTTTTGTCACGCATATCTGAAAGTTAAGAAATTTTTGGAAAATAGGTTTCCATTAAGAAGGGGACCGCAAGAAATTTAACACTAATTTGCATGGTCATTCACATATGCGCATGGGTGTACAGTACCGGTACAACTGTAGAAACGTGTGACAAGATGCAGGCAAACCCCGCGTATGCTTCGCGTATGCCTTGCGTAGATGCTCGCGTAGGCTGCGGCTTGGTTTGGAAGGGGTTGGCCCACTTCTGTTTTTCATGTTTGTATCCTATAATGTGAGCCGTTTAAGCAAGCATGTAGTCGTCATTTTTCGTGTCTGTCTCTATGAGCCGCGCCATGAAAACATGGGACGACTTCACGCCCAAATACCGCAAAGAACTCGCTCTGTCGCTTGCAGACACCATCATGGAGAAAACCGCTTTCCTTGATGAGGCTGCTTCTTTCCTCCAGCTTGTTGGGCAGATCATTCAAAAGAAGACGGGGCAGACACTACGCAACCTTGTCTTTAACCAGGTCGAATTCACCACCAGTCAGGCTGAGACCCTACTTCGCTCTCTAGGTCAGCTCCGGGAGAAGTACGCTACCCACAATAGCCAACTACATCTCCCCAAGGTCAGCGTTCAAGAAATGGATTGCGCCACAGTGAGCTCCTGCATAGCTTTGAAGACCTTGAATAGCTTTGGGTACAACATAGGGAGAAAGGAGTACAAGCACGCAACCTCAACTGAACCAAAGTCTGCTGCTCGGGAAAGCCGTGTAGGCCGAACAACATTTCCTTGGCGAACATCCCTCAACCTCCTGGGCCAGAGCCTGGCGATGTCAATGAACTCGTACGACGACATATGGCCCAGAAGCACATTCAGCCTCATCAGCCTGTTGCCCCTGCTGGGGACATTGAGACTTTGCTGAAAAAAGCCGAGGACAGACTGACCAAGGCTGCTTCTAAGAAGCGCCGACAGGCACAGGCTTTGCTGTCTTCATCTTCAAGCTCGTCTTCTTCTGAATCCTCATCTTCTTCATCTGCATCTGCTCCGTGAAGGCAGCGTGCAAAAAGGGCCTCGCGTGGTCGACTGCGTAGGTACCTCAACAAAACCCTCGATCTGGAACATGCTCGCGTAGGCTACCTCACATACTTTTGATATGTCGCGTAGGCGCTCGCGTATACATGCTGCGGAGTGTATACTTCCAAGCACCCAAAAAAACCACCACTCATTTTGATATTATTGCGAACACATGCAAAATATATTCTACGATATTATATTGTTCTTAATATTTGTTAGATATAATTAAAACCGACGAATATACAAAGGATTATATTTCTGTTGATGCCCATATATATGCGAAATATCGATGGACCAATATTTGATTTATTTGAAGGTTTTCTTTTTATTATAATTTGGATAGATCTCTCAATAGCGATTTAAGGTGAAAACGGGGGAAAAACGGGTATTTGCGAAGTATTCGTTCTAATGTATTTATTGCCATTTGGTTATTTTCTACCTCACCCATGCGTATCATTGCCAGAATGTTGGGATTTTCCGGATTCATAATTATAAACCATTTATAGCCATACGGCTTTGCTTCACCGGATGCACGAGGTCGACCTTTGTGATTTGGTATTTTGGAACATTTGATATATGCCTTTGTATGGTTATCACCAATTATTTCTTCATAGATTTCGGTTGTTTTGGTGGAAAAAGAGGTTCATGCAAATGATTGTTATATATTATAAGGAAAGCCATATTGAATTCCTCACCAATGATGATGTCCTACGCTCGGATTTGCCGACAGATTCGCTCAGAAATATTTCCGTACAAAGGCATTAATAAACATATCGTTTTTCAAAACGATATGACGCAATGTCCTTATGCAATCCCAACGGCTGACATTGATTCAACATATTCCAGTACATGATGGCATCCGCATGCATCTTGCGGAATTGTTCGGATTCATCGATGTTATTCCCGAAAATAGAGCCGTAGATGTCTGCAATGATTTTACTCGACGCAAAGACGCGGAATTCTAATTGCCTATGGTATTTGAGATAAATCAAGGTAAAGCCTTGCTTGGCATTGACAAAGAGAATATTTATTAGATTTGCAATATTAATTGTGTTGATCTTGGAGCCGGCCATCGTGTAGAAATTGGGCCCGAAAATCATACGACAGTTGTAATGGGTGCAATATCCACACCCGTCAAAGAAGGAATTATCAATTCATGAAATTATTGTGTGCAATCTCCGTGATTTGCCATTCTTCTGCAAATCACCTGCCAAGACGTCATCAATATCGTGGTTGTAGGGATTATTGCACGCATATCGTCCAGCTCCTTGGTCAAATTGAACAGATGAATAGCGTGCCCACACAATAGCATCTTCTTCCTAAAACATACAGAGATTGAGGGTATAATTGCCAATGCGTAACACAAAACAATAAAATGATTTTTTGAGAAACATGCAATGAACGAAGACAAGGGCCAGACGGGTTCAAGAATACCTTGAGGAAAGATGTATCCATGCGCCCATATGCTGGAGCCGCCCGTCATCGAAGACACCGGGCTTAAATTTTGTGATCGGCTCCGCCTTGAAGAAATCAAGGTGTTTCGCAGCGACAATCGAAGGTGCCAGATCTGTGCGCGCTGCCTATTCAATCTTAAATTGAGTGCGCAAAGAAGACCGTCTTGGACCCAAAAGATTTCCCCACACGTGTGCGGCCGATCCATGTGATCGCATTTTGGCGCATATTCGGCAATATATGCACTAGGGCCTTGTCCAGGATTCACGGCACGAAATTTTTCAATGTGAACGGCCAATACTCAAGAGCCTTGACATTTTGTCTTCCACGGTAATATTTCAGCAGTGATGATTTTTCCTTCACTCCAGCCTTCGATTGGACCACCTGGTCTGAGTTCCATAAATTGATTTCTATTGTTGCTTCTTGGCCCTTGGTCCCGAATGAAGCGATAGTCGTTTTCCCGTGCTTCCTAATCTGAAGTGATTTTTTTCTGAAATTTGGGTTGTATTGTCCATAGCCGCAACTGCATGCCGCCCATTCCGTCGAGCATATCGTTGAAAGTCATGAGGCCATTTCGGCTGTGTGATCCCCAATCGAAATACATGGGGGAATCATGGCAAATATTGATGCAATCCTTGGACATGACCTTATTTTTATGTATATAGATGTGCTTGAAGATATCCAGAAATTTGTCATCTTGATTTGGAGGATCAATCGCAGGGAATATCATAATTTGTATGCTGTAGGGAACTTTGGGCTCTTCTTTGAGATGGAAAGGAGATGGTAATTCACTATACTTTTCTTGCACACACAATCGATAAAAGGTATGATCAAAGAATGCGTGAGTGGCGTTACATTTGTGGTTCAGAACAATGTCGGCATATTGTTCCACTCCATATTGTGTAGAGGTAAGGCTCCGAGACATACATCTCCACAAGGACGATCGGATTTGAAGTGCCGTTTCTCAGGTTCCACGAGCTTCTGGCAAATGACCTGGTCCAGGGCTTCGGCGAAGATAAGGACGCCGTCTTGTCCGCCGAGATCACGATTGAATCCATCGTCGCGGCCCAATTCCAAATCAGCCATGTGGACACAGAGGAAAAGCCAAGAAGATATAAAGACGACGAAGATGTAAAAGGCTTGAGCGACAAGATGCATCAACCGAGGAGGTTTTGAAATTAAATAGCAGAAGCAACATCAATAAGCACAGAATTACGCTTGCAAAGATTCCTAACAATTTCATGTAAAGGACAGAGTGTCAGCGCACTTGCATGTCAAGTTGTTTGGAAATGCAAGTGGCAACCACATTGATACCAATCAGCAATTAATGCATTCAGACTTGTATATAGAGATTTGGACAAGGACAAAGGGAGCGTTGAGCTCAGACACTTTCAGATGTAAGAAAAAAGAACAATGTCTTGAGGTGAGAAGTAGGCTCAGATGCTAAACCAAAAAAACCTGGTGAACAACAAAAAAGAAAAACAATTCTGATAGACTCTTGGCTAGACCCCCCACTGAAGGAAAAACAAAAAACTTTGGAAAACCAAAAAATAACAACAATAATTCTGGGGAAATCTTGAGGAAAGGGGGATCTAGCCAAGAGTCTCTCAGAATTGCTTTTTGGTTTGCCCAAGGTTTTTTGGGGTTTTTCTTCAGTGGGGGTCTAGCCAAGAGTCTCTCAGAATTGTTTTGCTTTTTTGTTTTTTTTGGTTTTCCCAAGTTTTTGTTGTTATTTTTGTTGTTTTTTCTTACGTGTTTTTAATCCTTCATGCACGTTTATGAGTGTTTTGTTGGTTTTGATTGTGCCACTGAAGCATTTACCTAATATTTATTGAAAACTAAAATACAGGCCCCATGACCACCCCTTCTGTAAATCTTTGTCTAATTGATTGATATTAACCTTTGTCCACTTGATTGATCTTAAAAATATACTATCGTAGCTGAATTTTTGCCAGAACACGTTTTTAATCGACTTATTTCTTCAATATATGGGTATTTATCTATATTTTGCATTTTCGAAAAATACAATTTTGAACAGGT